GGAAGAAAAATTGACAAAAACCTAGAAAACTCTTGAAAAAACCGAAAAAAAAGTGAAAACGAGCGAAAAAATTTTAAAAGTTTGAATTCGCGCGCTTTTACTCACCGGCCTAGAAAAAACCTCGTCCCTAAGGGCTTTCAGCGTATTTTTCGATGCGTTTTTCTCGATGAAAGAATTTTTTTTGAATTTTTTCTTTATTTTTATGCCAATCTAAATGCATTTCTGCACATTTTGATGCAATAAAAAATTTCACCGTACACCCCCTTTAAAAAGAGATCACATGGCCTAGAAAACCCCAAAATCTAGGCCATCAAAAAAAAATTCCTTCCAGACCCTTCTCCCGGCTCCAATGATTTCAACGAACGTCGTCTCGGGATTTCTCACCGGTCTTCTTGTGATTTTCGCCGTCGCCTATCTCCTGATTGCAGTGCTAAATGTGAGTATACGGTGGTCGTGGCCGAGAAATTTCTAGGCCATCGAAAATGTTTTGAAAAAAAAATAGATTTTTAAGCGATTTTAGGTCATTTTTCATGAATTTTGAGCTGATTGTCTGCAATTTTTGCCGAAAAATGCGATTTTTTAATGCATTTTAATCGATTTTCAGCCAAATTTCTCCAATTTTCAGACATGGTGCATGTACGTCGTCATCGATAGCTATCAACTGCTGAAAGTGCAAAAATCGCAAACGCGTGCTCCGTCCGTCGAAGAATACTGTGCTCCGAAGACGATCCAGCTGTCTCTCTATCCGAATCAAGTGATTCAGGCCACGGACTTCTAGGCCACGCACATTTCTAACCCTTTCTTTTTTTTCAAATTTCCGGTTGATTTTTATGTATATAATGATGGTCATTTTGTATCTTTTTGTGTCAGGGTCCAGCTTTAATTTTTCTTCTTGTGAACTTTAAATTTTTGAATATTTACCAATATATTTTTGTGTCATTTTTTTCGGATGCTTGCACTCTGAGTTCGATTATCTTGGTTCCTATAAGAGATATCCAAAAATGGCCAACTGATGAAATGCTTATCACATTATCAGCAACATTTGACCAGTTGAACATTTTTCGATAACTGTGATAGGACTTCTGATAATTAAACTTAAAGTGTACTCGATCCTTAAGGATCACATATATGCTTATTTTGAGCGGCTAGATTTTTTAGGTCACGACCTAGATTTTTTTAGGCCACGACCTAGATTTTTTTTTACGTCATGGCCTAGATTTTGTGGGTCATAACCTGGGTTATTAATTTCCACGTGAAATTAAAAATTTTGAACTTATACGTGAAATAAAAGTTGAATTTCTACGTGAAATTCTTAAAAATTGAATTTTAGCGTCTAGGCCATGACCCAAAAAATCTAGGTTATGACTCAGAAAATTTAGATGAGAGAAATCGTTTTAAGTGAAAAACAAAAAACAGCAAAAATCGACATAAAAAACCTAAACTTGTATAAAAATCAACACAAAAAAAACAAAAATTTAATAATCACACGATCCATCCTTCCATCCGTCTCGCCACCGTTCCATCACATTTTTACAGTTGAACGCCTGTTTTCCCGTTTTTTCATTCACTTTATTATGTAATTGACACATCCAAAGAGCAAATTCTTGGCGATTTTCGACTTTTGGCGGGTCCGATTTTAGGTCTTTTCGAAGGTCTTTCGCACAGAAATCACATGGATATGTCTGGAAAATTTTTAGAAAATTTTTTTGGGAAAATTTAAATTTAAAAAAAGTTCTAACCTGACCTAAAATTGTCATAAAACTCTTCGCGCGGCTTTTATCGTCTTCTGTTGGCTTCTCCGGATAGTAGACCGACATTGTGTGCAGTAAATTCCAAGTGGAGCGACCTGGAAAATGTTTTTTTCGAAATTTCGATTTGCCGGGAATTCAAAATACCCAATTCATCTTTATCGACTGGACACCCGTGTAGTTTTGCTCCTGTACTTGTGCCCGGTGCATTCTTCTCTTCTTCTGAAATTGCAAAAAATTGGAAAAATCTAGAAGTTTCCAGATTTTCCCACCTTTTTTCTTCATTTTCTCGGCCATCTCCCTGCCTTTCTTCATCATATCTTCGACACTGACACATGCTCGACACGGCTTTCCATCTGGACCGATTTCCATTCTGAAATTCAAAAAAAATGATGCAAAAAGTCCGAAATAGACTGAAATTTGATGAAAAATAGGTTTTCCAAACCGAAAAATTGTTTGGAAATCGATAAAAATAGTGAGGAACTCGAAAAAAATAGAGTTTAGAACTGAAATTTCTACTTTTAAATGCTGAAATATAAATTCTAAAAAAAGCGAAAAATGCAAACGCGCTTCACCTGCACTGGCGAGAGAGTGGAGGCGCCAGAGAAACAGGAGCGATGGCGAAATCGGATTTGCGCGGGAGCCATGTGTTTTTCAAATTTTTTCGGGGGGATTTTCAGCGATTTCCATGATTTTTTAAAGAAAAAATAAATAAAGAAAAGCCGGGGGAATTTGAAATTTCAGGGAAAAAACAAGATAAATAATCGGATATTTATTGAATTTGATTTTTCAAAAAAAAAATTTTTTTTCGAGGCGAAAAAATCTTAAAAAAACAGATTTTTACTATTTGTTTGCACCCAGCTCCTCCTCCACTCCTCGAAAAAAATAGAGTTTAGAACTGAAATTTCTACTTTTAAATGCTGAAATATAAATTCTAAAAAAAGCGAAAAATGCAAACGCGCTTCACCTGCACTGGCGAGAGAGTGGAGGCGCCAGAGAAACGGGAGCGATGGCGAAATCGGATTTGCGCGGGAGCCATGTGTTTTTCAAATATTTCGGGGGGATTTTCAGCGATTTCCATGATTTTTTAAAGAAAAAATAAATAAAGAAAAGCCGGGGGAATTTGAAATTCCAGGGAAAAAACAAGATAAATAATCGGATATTTATTGAATTTGATTTTTCAAAAAAAAAAAATTTTTTTTCGAGGCGAAAAAATCTAAAAAAAACAGATTTTTACTATTTGTTTGCACCCAGCTCCTCCTCCACTCCAGCTGATAATGCACACCTCTATCGTTTTTATCAATTTCCCGCAAATTTTTTTTTGCTTTTTTAGAAATGCAAAAATGAGTCAAAAAGTGAGAGATTTGGCGAAAAAAATCGACGATATTCTCAATTTGGATTCAAAATTGAAAAGAGATGTGGGTAGAAATTTTTTTGAATTTTCAGAAAAAACATTTTTCAGAGAGAAATTCCAACGTTGACCAAATTTTATAATCATTTGGAAAATGATGGAGATCTTGTCCCAAAGGGATTGGCTGAATTGACAGTTGGGATTATGAAATTAGCTAAAAGGGTGGGTATTTTGGAAAAAAATTTTGAAAAAAAATTGAAAAAATATAGAAAAATGAAAATGTAATTTTCCCAAAAATAATTTTCTGAAATTGAAAAAAAATTTAAATATCAATAAATCAAAACTTCTGAAAATAACCAATTTTTCCCAAAAAATTAGCTGAAAATCAAAATTTTAAAAATTGAAAAAAAATTTTCCTGAAAAATTTTTTTAATCTGAAGCAGTTTCTTCAATAATCTGAAAAATTTAAAAAGCTGAAAATTTCAAATGTTAAAAATAAACTGTAAAAAAGCATGAGAAATCAAAATCATTTTTTTGGAAAAACTTTGAAATTTGATTTTTTCAAAAATTTGAAAAAATAGAAAATGATATTTACCAAAATCAATGAAAAATCACTGAAAAATAGCTAAAAATCAGTCAAAAAAAGCTTTAAAAAGGCCTAAAATACTGTTAATTCTATCAAAAATTGTCTAAAAACGTCTGAAAATCAGTCAATCTAGTTTCGAATAATTTTTACGTTAATCAGTCAAAAATAGCTTAAAATATGCAAAAAATAGCTTAAATTGACGGAAAAACAGATACAAGTCAACTGGAATGGCTTAAAAGTAGCTTAAACCAGCATCAAATCAATCGAAAGTTCAGCGAAAAAAATTCAAATTACTCTGAAAATGCTTTAAAATCTTAATTTTGTCTAAAATGATTTATACATAAATCACTAGAAAATGACTGAAAAATAGCTGAAAATTAGTCTAAAATAGCTCAAAATCGCTCAAATTTTGCCAATTTTTCAACCAAAAAACTTCCAGGAAATCGAAGAAGTGGATAAGAAATGGAAGAAGACGGAGCACGATGACATCCCAAAGTCCGCCTCCAAATACAAGACTGATCCCTTCAAAACTCCGGTTTTCGAAATCTCAACCCGCCATTTAAAAATGTGTTGTCGCCAGCCAATCGATCATAATACCGTACCATGGATCCCCTATTGCTTATCCATTCTCTCCTACGACTTCATTTTATCAGCTGATGGTCTAGAAGGTGACGTCTCCAACGTATTGCACATCTGTGCGATGGCATCTCGAATTCAGTGGGCCGACCATTCGCATCTTCAGAAGTTATGGGATTTCATTTGGCGTCGAATCGAAACGGCGGATTTAAAGGAGCAGGCGCTTCGAAGCTATTGCGAGGTGGCGGTGGAAATGATGAAAAATGTGGATTACGAGATCTATGAGACATCGAGCCATCAACTGGTTCGGAGGGCGATCAGAGCGCTGAAAATGGGAAATCATGGAATTAGCCAAGCAGCGTGAGTATTTGCTCTGAAAATTGCTGAAAATCGGTTGAAAATAGGTCAAAAATGCCCTAAAATTGACTAAAAATTGCTTAAAATAGGCAGAAACAACATAGGCAGAAAATTGCTTGAAATTGGCTGAAATCGCATTAAATAGGTAAAAATGAGCTGAAAATAGGCTTAAAATAGGCTAAGAATAAGCTTGAAATGGTTTTAAATAGGATAAAATAGCTAAAAATTGGTCAAAATTTAGGATGGAATTCAGACAACGGTCCAAAATGTGGTGAAAATTGACTGAAAACGACCGAAAACAAGGCAAAAAATTGATAGGTTTATTTGGCTGAAAACGACTCGAAATAGACTTAAAATTATCAAAATTCACTGAAAATCATCAAAAATAGGTTTGGAACAGGTCAAAATAGCTAAAATAGGATTTAAAAAATGGCTATAGATAGGTCAAAATGGTTCAAATAAGTCGAAATGGCTTATCATGGGCTCCAAATGTGCTTAAAATAGGCTTGAAAAGGGTCTAAAATGACTGAAAATATGATAAAAATAGATCAAAAGTGGCTGAAAATAGGCCAAAACAGGCTAGAATAGGCTATCACACAGAAAAAATGAGGGGACGGACACCAGAAAAAACAGGATTTTTCAAAAAATGGACGCTGAGCAATCTGGCACCATTTGGAGCATAAAAGAAGGTTGAGATAGCAATTACACATCATTTGCAAGACACGTGGCACATCGAAAATCACTGGAATAGTTCAAGTGCGCTCCAGCGGCACACTTAAAATGCACCCATCCGGAGCATCCGAAGCATTGGCACGTTCCGGAACGAGCGGGCTTTTGACAGACAGGGCATTGATGTTTGGATGGCTTCTTTTTAGGTTGTTGGCGGACAGAAGATGGGCATGCAAGGGAAAGTGGAGGCATTGGGTTTGAGATTGATACAGTAGTGACGGGATCACGTGGAACGATCGTAGCTGATTGGGCAGGAGATCGGCAGGCAAGGGCAGCTGATTTCTTTGAAGCAAGGCAAGTGGTTTCTGGCTGGGTTTTGGCGACTGGATTCTTCGGAATTCGTCGTCTAGCTGAAACTTTCTTGACTGGCAGTCCTTGTTCTCCAAATCGGATTCTCTGAACGGCAACAGAAGCATTTTGGCGAACCTTTTCCACCTTGACCTTCTTCGCCGCCTGCCACCTCGCCTCCGACTCCTCCGTTTCCAACTGCCTCGCTGACTTGACTCTCTCCCGTTTGCCAGTCACCGGAAGATCCCAGACACGTAGACTTCTGATCTCCCGACTCTTGACATGAAGACATCTGTCCCAGTTGGCGATGGCTTGTTGGCGAGCGAGGAATAGGGTCCCAGCCGCTTTTGAGTAGTTTCTAGTTATCAAATAATCAATATCCATGTCAGGGTTGTTCTGGATGTCTCGATAGATTTGGTCGAAGAATGTAGGCATGGATTCTACTTCTACTTCTTGGCTTGTCTGGTTAAAATCTTCTGGCTCCACCGACCCATATCCTTCGTCCGCTTCATGAGAGACGCCTTCCTCCTTCTTCGGGCTCTCCAGGAAACTAAAATTGGTGATGACGTTGGGAGGAGGATCCATAGACCCTCCGATACTCTCCAACCACTTTTGAGTCTCAAAATCTTCACTGGCTGCTTCGGCAATCTGATCTGCGGATGGTTGGATTATGTCAGCGACCCATTCGATGCCAGATTCCATTTTTAAGTTCTGAAAAAACGAATTTTGAGTAAGCATCTGGAAGAAAGAGCTGGGTACACTATACCAAAAGTGGCGGAACTTGAACAATCAATAAAAAGCCCGGAACACAGTAATCCCGAAACCGGGAATTCGGAGAAAGAGAAAAAGTGGACAGCCATCCATCTAGCGTCTCATCTAGCGTCCTCCATCGTCGACCACGCCCCTGAACCGTTACGCAAGTACGCAACGCGGCACAGGGGCTCTGGGAAAGCGAGATAGTGTACGGGTGCATTGAGACGCAGAGAGACAGAAGTGTGGACCTATTTGGAGATCCTAGAAGTTTTGGAACATAGTAACGAAGGCTCTTCACCTAGCGGAGTTCTTGATTCCGAAACTTCAGCATACTGAATTCACCGTAGATTCTAGACAATCCAAATACTAAGGATTCTGAAGATTCAAAGATCCTGATAATTTTAAGGATCTTATAAATCCTCATGCGACAATATCCGGGTGTCGCATGATCCAGGTGGTTCCGAGAAGAAGACTCTGAAGCGGAGATTTACGGTTCCGAAATCTCCAGCTTCTATAGAGCCCTTTGATCTAGGTTCTAGAAGATCCTAGAAGCATACACTCCTGGAATCTGAAATTTCAAGTTCCTAGCTCGATGGTGCCATCTGACCCGGCATCAAATCTAGTCTAGCTTTTGGAAGCTTCAGATTTGGAATCCATATGACCTGATAGGTGTACAAGAATCATGAAACTTATTAGATTCATACATGGCCAGATGAGCTGAGAATCTAGAATCTTGGAGGTCCGATTTGCAGTCTGAGCCTGGTCGACGCGGCTGATATGGATTCTGATCAGGGATCTCTATGTTTCTAAAAATAGAGAACATCCTGGACCTTGCAGATCGTAGATCCAGCATCCTGGACCTTATTGACCGTAGATACATCATCCTGTACCTTGCAGAACCTATAATCTAGGTCCTAGAACCAGCATCGTAGGTTTTGCAAATTGTAGATCCAACGTCCTGGACTTCATATATCCTAGATCCAGCATCCTGTACCATGCACAACACAGATCCAGCATCCCGGACCTTGAATATCGTAGATCCAGAATCCAGGACTTGCAGATCGTGGATCCAACATCCTGGATCTTGTAGAGGCTTTGAGGGTCGTAGATCTAATTTTTTGACATCAGAATCAAGTGTTTTTTCCCTTTAGAAATTGTCCAAATTTGGGAAATCTAAGATTCCGAATTTTGACACCCTGTGGACGATTCGTCACTTCAACATAACAAAAAACATCATGAATATTTTATTTGAGCACATCGGGATCAAAGAAATCAAAATCACAGACAAATTTCAAACCGATTCGGTTCACCAAATCTAGATTAGAGTCAATCTAGCTATCCGACGAGCTCGCCGAGCATCCACTACACCGAAACGCGATGGTCCACTGATGCGCTCGAACCTTGGCGCATTTCAAGTGCACCCATTCGTGACATCCATTGCAAATGCATGTTCCCTGACCACTGGTCTTGTGACATTCCGGACATTTGTAGATTTTTCGAATCTTGTTTGATTTCGGCGTTTGTTGTAGCTCGACGTTCTCCTTGGGCTCTTCGATTTCGAGTTTGGGTTTTTTGGAAGGTTCTGGAAGCTCTTTGGATGGTCCCGGTCTTCCTCTTTTTGAAAGCTTTGAAATCTCTTCCTTGACATCCTGGGTAGATGGTCCTGGAAGCTCTTCTCTTGGTTTAGACGATGGTCCGGGTCTTCCTGGTTTTCCTCGTTTTGTAGATTCCTTCTTCACTGGCTCGGTCTTCTTTTTAACTGGAACCTTCTTCTTCTTCATTGGCTTATCCTCTTCTGGATCATAGTCTTTATCCATCTGGGTCGTCTGGTCAGCTTCCACGTCCCGGTCGGGGTGTTGACTTCGTTCCAACTCCTGAAAAGTTGAGAATTTTATTTGGCTCCCAAAATTTTGTGGAAGCTTCTGGAATTTTTTTTTGGAGGAATCTGGGATCAGCGCTTTTGCTTCCAAAAAAAGGACCTAGGATCTGCCATTTTCCAGGGATCCTTACCTCCCAGAACGCGTTGGCTTTTATATCGTTTGCCAGTCGCTTCGCCTCCTCCTTCTTCAGCTTCTCCATCGCTCGCTGACGAGCCATCCACCATTCGCCAGCTGCCTTCGACTGGTTTCGATACATAATGTACTCGAAATTCAGCTTTGGATTCCGAAATTGATCGTCGAGAATCTGATCGAAGTGTGTGTAGAGCGGTGGGTAGTGAGGCGATGTCTGAAAGATCGGGGGTTTAGAATTCTTGTCTAGAATCTGTCTTGAAGACGTCTGGACCAGTCTAGGCGTCTAGGACAATCTAAATTTAGTTAAATTCCGATTCAAATGGCTTTCATTGCTGTCAAAATCAGCAGAACTTTGTCCTAATCAATTTAGAGTGACCCAGATGATTCTAGAACCTTTTTGGCTCGATTTGCATTGAACATGACCAATTTTGGGTCAAAAATGGGCCAAGATGATCTAGAATTGGTCTAGTTGAATCTAAATTTTTCTAGAACCGTTTTGGCTCAAATTCGCCTGAAAAAAAAACCAATTTCGACTCAAAAATAGGTCAAGATAATTTAGAATAGGTCTAGATGGGTCCTGGAATTTCTCTAGGCTAGTCCGAATCGATCTAAAGTGATCTAGATGATTCTAGAACGTTTTCACTCAAATTGATCGAATTTGGCTTAAAAATGGTTCAAAATGGTCTAGAATTGGTCTAGTTTGGTCATCAAATTTGTCTAGACCAGTCCAAATCGATCTAAAGTGGTCTAGATTGTTCTGGAACCATTCTGGCTCAATTTGCATTGAAAATGACCAATTTCTGATCGAAAATGGGCCAAGATGGTCTAGAAACGGCCTCGGTGGGTCTAGATTGTTCTAGAACCGTTCCGTCTATCAAATTGCTTTATAAAATGACCACATCTGGGTTAAAACTGGGTCTAACTTGGTCTAGAACCTTCGCCCTCACCTCTGCTTCCTCTGACGACGTCTTCAAAAACGAGAAATCGGTGATGAGCCTATCCGGCGGTCCATCGTAGTGACCAATGCTCTTGAGCCATTCTGCTAGGTCTTCCAGCTCTTCCCGTGGCAGCATTCTTCTGGAATATTCTGGCTTAAAAAAGGAAAGAAGTTTTTGGCCTAAAAAAGAGAAGAGAGAGAGCAGAGAAAGAGATTCATGAGCACGAGAGATTTAGAGAGAAAAAAGATAAGAAGAAGAGGAATATAAGAATAGCGGGGTGTTGCTATGGGTAACATTAAAAGTAATAGAGAAGTCATGAGCGAAGAGTCATGAGGAGGATGAATCGAGAAAATTCCGTGGGTGTGGTCTTGAAAATCGTAGGAGATGCTCCAGAAACGGCTAGATTCTGTTGATGTGGTACTTTTTTCGATGAAAAATCTGATATTCTATGTCCCAGAATCGACCCTAACGAAGTCATCTACGATCAGTGCGAATTCGAGCTTGAAATGGTCCAAACACCCCGCCTTCAAATAGTCCATTTGGACTAAAATAGGCGGGAAAGCGGTCCAAACCAGAACGACTCAGGATCGATGAAGCGTAGGCGCTCCTTAAATGACCCTTGGCTATCCCAGATCTGGTTTGGACGGTTCTAAAATCTTCACCAATCATTTGGACCCGAAAATCCAGAATGTCGATTTCGGGTCCAAATTTTCTAAGCTCCAAAAAATCTAGGAAAATGCCGGGAAATCCAAGAATTCGATCATTGAAAACCACTGGAACAGTTGAGGAAAATGACCGATTTTTCTTCGTTTCCATACGAACCGGTTCGACTGGGTTTTGCCTTGTTTTCTTTTCTAATTTTCCCTCGTTCTTGTGTGTGTGTGCCGTGAAGTCCGCAACGAAACTTTGACGGGAAAATGCAGAGAGCGGGTGAGAAAAGGAGGTGCATTTGGAAGTGGAATTTCTGAAAGATTCTGAAGAGACTGAGAGATCCTAGAGAATGCTAGAACTTTCCAAAATGATCCCATTTTCAGTATGAATCATTCTAGACCGAGGTTGTCGGAAACAGTGTCCCAGCTTTTTGGTTAGGCTACTTTTGGGATGGGTAAAATGTGCCGGCCTAAAAGCTTCTGATTGGCTTTGTGTATTTCCGAAACCTGCAAACATTGGGCCTCAAATGGCTACTTGATTTGGGCCTATCTTAAATATGACTCCATCGATATAAAATAGCCAAAATTGGTCTAGGACTACTCCATCCAATGGATCAACTAAATCGATTGAAATTTGCCCGGATTTGGAATATCCGTGTAATCTATCTAGCCATGAAACAAATCGCATTACAATCTATCTAAAATCGATTTGAATTTGCTTAGAACCAGCCCAGATTGGTCTCGGATTTCTCAGGAACGGACGTGTTAGTCTAAATTTACCGGTGAAATCGGTTCCAAATAAGCTGTCAAGCTAGACATACATTCTAATCCAGCTTGGCTCTGTTCTGAAACATCATTCGAATTTCATCAGGCTAGATGGACATCCAATTGCCTCGGAAACGGATCAAAGTCGAAGACAAGCCTAGCTTGGACTAGAAGTGGTCTGATTATAAGTGAGAAGAATTTCACAATTCACAAGGCATCGATTCGAAAACGAGAGGTTATGGACAAATTGAGTGACTTGGAATTGGACTGAAACGGACTTGGAGCCTGAAGGAATTTTAAAAAAGAAAACTCACTTTCAAAGTTAGAATTCTCTAGCCAAAGTGACGTTTTGCCTGTCGTTTGAAAAAGGAACCCTATAAAAGCGACGTATAACGAGAAGAAGAGGAAAAACACACTGGAAATGAAGCCGCTCTCCTAAAGACTCTCTCTCTCTCTCTCTCTCTCTCTCTCTCTCTGTCTGGATCTAGCCACTCGTGAATGAAATGCATGACTGAATGCATGCACATCGCCTTCTTCCTCTTACTTTGTTTTTCTCTTCTTTTCCCCGTTTTTATGTACACCTACTTGTCTGAATCTCTAGCCTCCTCCGAAAAGTCCGCAACTTGCCCAAAACACCGCCACGCGAAGTTGCGGACTTTAGGGGGAAGGGAGCAGGAGAAAGAGGAAGAGCAAATGGGCCGGTTTATTGATATAAGATTGGAGAGGGGAAATCGGTAAAAGAGATTGTTGGAAGAATGGAAAAAAAGAGAAATTTTGGCCCAAAAATTTGAAATAAACTCGATTTTAGGTTCAATAAAAGTAGAAAATTCTAAATAACTTGCTGCAGAACAGCTGAAAATTCCAAAAATTAATTTCAGATGGACCAGCACTCGAAAGTACTCCATCGTCGTCGTCGTCTCGTTCATCGTTCACAAATGGGGACTGGAAACTCGAGATTTCATACTTCGAGAGGTTTTCGAACTCTTGGATCCTCTGCTCTCACTGATAAACATCAAAACGAATCAGTCGGAATCGGAGGTTTGTGGAAATATTGGGCATAAAAATAGGCTGAAAATAGGCTGGAAATGGTCCATGGGAAATGACCCAAAATCCATGAAAAAGTGTCTAAAATTCATTAAAAAAATGGTATCAAATCCATGAAAACTGGTCCACAATTCCTGAAAAATGCTTCGAATTTCATGGAAAATGGTCTGAAATTTATGAAGAATGGTCCAAAATTCACAGAAAATGGCCCAAAAATCATGAAAAATGGTCCAAAATTTATTTAAAATCGTTCAAAATCTATGAAAATTGGTCCAAAAATCATGAAAAAAGGTCCAAAAATCATGAAAAGGTTCAAAATCCATGAAAAATGGTCCAAAAATCATGAAAAGTGTCCGAAATTCATGGAATATGGTCCAAAATTCATGAAAAATATGAAAAATGGTCCAAAATTCATGAAAAATAGTCCAAAATTCATGAAAAATAGTCCAAAAAAGTCAAAATAGTCCAAAAAAGTCAAAATTGCAGATTCTAACGATGCAACTCGTGGATGACGTCATCAAGCTCTCAATGATCGAAACCATCGATGGACATCGTTCGATGAATGAAAAAACAGAGGAGAATGTTCGCAAATTGGTGAAATTCGCGATTCGCGAATCGCTGAGAACCATGCATCGTGGCTATTCGATGAGTCCGAATTTTCAAATTTCCGACGAAATTTGTAGATTTTTGGCCAGATGGTTTTTGGCTGAAAGACGCGTGGATACGGTAGAAATGGATTTGGATGAGTCGTCGATTGATTTGAAATCGGATGGAAGGAAATTTGAGAATCATTATTTATCGTTGGAAGGTTTGTCTGTTTGCCCGGATGTCCGGATTTTTAGAATTTCTGATTTCCCGAATTTTTGAATTTCCAAATTTCTGATTTTTGGAATTCCAGATTTTCAGACCAGCGACGTTTTAGAACCGGTTCTAAAATGGTCAGTTACGAAATGGCCCAGCTAGGCATTGAGAACAGGTCGTTTCAGAACCGCTCCTTTCTCAACTGACCATCTCGCAACCGGTCATTTTGCAACCGCTCTGAAATACGCGGTTTCAAAACGGTCCGGTTGTGAAAAATGGTCAATTGGACATTCTAGAACTGGTCATTTCGCAACTTGGCGTTTTAGAACTAGTCATTTTGCAACCGTTCTTTAACGTGCAGTTATGAGACGTCCTGTTGCAGTACGGTCAATTGCGAAATGGCCATCTGGACGTTTTAGAACCGGTCATTTTGAAACCGTTCGAAAATATGCTGTTCTAGAATATCCGGTTGCAAAACAGTCAGTTGTGAAATGGCCTTCTGGACATTCTGAAATCGGTCATTTCGCAACTTACCATTTCACAACCAGACGTTTCAGAACTGGTCATTTCCTTTTTAGAGCAAGCGGTTCTAAAATGTCCGGTTGCAAAACGGTCAGTTGCGAAATGGTCAGCTGGACATTCTGGAATCGGTCTTTTCGCAACCGAGACGCTTTCGAACTTTTTTTCCGAATTTTCGATTTTCTGATTTTCCGAAAATTTGGAATTTCTGATTTTCCAAATATTGATTTTTTCTGAAATTCCTAGATTTTCAGATTCCTCAAAAACCCCTTAACTTTCCAGGCCTAATCCATCTGTCCTTCGGCTCGAAGTGCGTCAACAAACATGCCGCATGGAATGGAGCGATGCAAATTCTGAATAAAATTCTAAAATCTGGTCGTCTGAATTCCCAAATCGTCGAATCTATCGTTTCGATTCTATGGGAAAAACGGAAATCCTACACGTCAGAATACTTGCGAACCGCGTTTTGTGCACTATTGGCTACAGTAATCCCACAGGATGTTAGGTAAGTGGCAAGCGCCTGAAAATGGCAAATTTGGGAGGCTAAAAAGTGATTTTAGGTCCAAAATTTGTCGAATTTCGGCACAAAAATCAGGATTTTGAGCCGAAAATGTAGATTTTGAATCTCGAAATTTCAATTTTTCGACCCAAAAAATCAGGATTTTCTTGCTTGAAATTGTCTTTTTTTTTCTTTTTTTTTCCTCATTTTTTTTACAAATTCAGGATTTTTTTTCAGAAAAATTTTGCATAAATCGAAATTAATCAAAAATCCAAAAATTTAAAAATTTCCACTATCTGAACTCTAAATTTCCCGATTTTTTGGGTTATTTTTAGCCAAGTTTTCGAATTTTGGACAAGTTTGGAAATTCAAAATTCAAACATAACCAAATTCGATTTTTTGGATTTTTTAGATTTTAGAGTTTTGGGATTTTCAGTTTTTATGTTTTTCAAGTTTTCAGAAAATCAAAAAAATTCGAAAAGTCCCAAAATTCAGAAATCAGAAAATCAAGAAATTCAAAATTTTTTGTTGTTGGAATTTTCAGATTTTCTGATTTTAAAGAGTTTCTGAAATTCCTAAAAATCCAAAAATCTGAAAATTGATAACTTGAAAATTCAAAAAAACCTGAAAATCCGAAAAATACAAATAATATCTGAAAACTCAAAATTTTGAAATTCCAACAAAATTCATAAATCCAACATTCGGAAAAATTTCACTATCTGAAACTCTAAATTTTCCGATTTTTGTGTTATTTTGAGCCAATTTTGTTAAAGTCTGAAAACCCAAAAATTCAAAAATTTTGAAAATTCAAATAAAACCAAATTGGATTTTTTGAATTTTTTAGATTTTTTTTGGGATTTTTGGAATTTTCAGATTTTCAGAATTTTTTAGATTCTTGGATTCTTTAGCTTTTAGATTTTTGGATTTTCAGTTTTTCTGTTTTTCAAATTTTCAAAATATCCAAAAAATTCGAAAAATCTACAAGTTTCTGAAAATTCTAAAAATCCAAAATACTGAAAATTTGAAAATTCAAAAAAATCTGAGAATTCGGAAAAACTGAAATCCCAAAAAATTCAAAAATCTAAAAAAATCCAAAAATCTGAAAATCTAAGAATCCAAGAATATCTGAAAATTCAAAAAATCCAAAAAATCTGAAATCCGATTTTTTTTGGTTATTTTAAGCTAATTTTTCAGATTCTGACCTCCAAAATGATCTTTTTAAACCAGAAAAATGCGATTTTCAGATTTTTCGACCCCAAAATTTATGTTTTTAGCCAATCCCCGCCATTTCCATCCCACGAAACTCCGATTTTCAGATTCGGCCACCTCCGAATGCCATCGATCGACTCCATCCTCAAGTACACTCTATCTCTAATGCCCAACGTCACATCACTCCCAAATGCGGCGATTTTGACTGAGAATATTCTGAAATTCCGTTCGAAACAAGTCTCAAAAGAGACGATTCGTCTGATTTGGGATACTGTATCCAGGACGAGTCCCGCGTGTTTCGAGGTCTTAAGACTGCTCTCGGCATTGGTTTCGTTTACGGAATTCGAGGAAAATTCTAGATTTGCAAACGACGAAAATGTGGGAAAATGGAGGTAGAACAGTTCTAGAACGTCACAGTTCTGAAATGTCACTTTTCAGTCTCCGAAAAGACGTCATCGAGTGGTTGCTCATCGATCCGAGTGCTCACAGTCACCAGTTGATTCACGAGCTGTGTCATTATCATCCATCGTTTTGTTATGAAACGGACGAACCGAACACAGGTGTGTCATTTCGCAACCGGACGACGTTTTAAAGCCGGTTCTGAAATGTCCGGTTGTAAAATGGCCAGCTAGGTATTCTAGAACCGGATGTAATGGACCCCGACAATATAAAACCGATATTTCTTTCAATCGAACGTTTTAGAACTGACCTATTCGCAACTAGTCGTCTTAGAACCGGACGTTATAGAACCAGACATTCTGAGACCTAAAACTTTGGAATTTTAGAATCAACCATTTCGCAACCGGTTCGTTTTGACACCGGTGTGATTCTGAACTGGTCATTTTTCAACTAACCGTTTCGCAACCCAGACGTTTTAGAACCGCTCACTTTGTCTTGGTTTTAAAACTCGCTGTTCCAAAATGTCCGGTTGCGAAACAGTCAGTTGCGAAATGGCCATTCTAGAACAGGTCGTTTCAAAATCGGTCATTTCTCACCCAAGACTTTTTGAAACCAATCGTTTTGCAACTGTTCTAAAACACATAGTTTTGAAACGTCGGGTTGCGAAACGGTCAGTTGCAAAATGGTCAGCTGGACATTTTAGAACCGGTCATTTTGCAACTGGAAGTTTTAGAACCGCTACGTTTTAGAACCAAACATTCTGAGACAGGAATCTTCGAAATCGGACGTTTCAGAACCGTTCCTTTCACAACTGACCATTTCGCAACCGGGTTGTTTCGAAACCGGAATGGTTCTAAAATGTCCAGTTGAAAAATGGTCAGTTACGAAATGACCATCTGGACATTCTAGAACCGTTCATTTCGCAACTGGACGTTTTCGAACCGGCCGTTTCGCAAACGTTTTAAAACAAGCGGTCCGATTTTCACACAGTTTTGAAACTTCGGGTTGCGAAACAGTCAATTGTGAAATGACCATTTGTTGCGAATTCTCGAACCGTTAGTTTTGCAACCGGACGCTTTATAACCGGCCGTTTCGCAACCGTTTGAAAAATATGGTTACAAAGCGTCCTGTTGTGAAACGGTCAGTTGCGAAATGGCCATTTGGGCATTCTAGAACCAGCCATTTCGCAACTGAGACGTTTTAGAACCGTGACGTTAGTGAACCGGATATCTATTTTGCAACCATTTCAAAACAAACGGTTCTGAAACGTCCGGTCGCAGAATTACCGGTTCTGAAACGCCGAAAACCCGAAAAATCTGAATTCTTTACCTAAAATATCGATTTCCAGATGACCAGCTTCTCCGAAACCTCAAAACGTGTCATCTCCTCCATTTCTCATCATCTACAGTACCTCACAAAGCTACAGTAACCCAAATGCGACCAACCGATGCGAAAATCGACGAAATTGTGAATTATGTGGACTGTAAACTGAAATCAATGCTTTCCACCGAGCTAACACTACCGGTTTTTGTGTTGAGCTACGAGTTTTCGCTGAAATTTCCAGAAGTTTCGTTTGATTTCGATGTGAGTCTGAAGATGCAAAAAATCTGAAAATCCAGAAATTTGGAAATCTAAAAACCCGAAAGTTCAAAATTCCGAAAATCCCAAAAATCTGAAACTTCGAAAATTTGAGATTTTAAAAATTAAATAATCGGAAAACCTAAAAATCACTAAAGATCTGTAAAATGGTCGGTTTTGAAGCACCCGGTTACCAAAACTAATAGTTCGAAAACGTCTCGGTTGCGAAACGGTCAGTTGTAAAATGACCGGTTCTAAAATGTCCCGGTTGCCAAATGACCGGATTCCGAACTTATGGTTGCGATTTGGACAGCTGCTGAATGGGAAATTCTAAAACGTCTCAGTTGCGAAAAGACCGGTTCTAAAACGTCCAGCTGGTCATTTCGCAACTGACCGTTCTGCAACAAGAAGTTTCATAGCTGCAGGTTATAGAACGGTTTCAAAATGACCGGTTCTAAAACGCCCAGGTGGCCATTTCGCAACTGACCGTTTTGCAACCGGACGTTTCGTAACTGCACGATGAAGAACGGTTGCAAAATGACTAGTTCTAAAACGCCCAGTTGCGAAATGACCAGTTCTAGAATGTCCAATTGACCATTTTTCACAACCGGACGTTTTTGAAACCGCGTATTTCAGAACGGTTGCGAAATGACCGGTTGCGAAATGGTCAGTTGACCATTTTAGAACCGGTTCTAAAACGTCGCTGGTCTGAAAATCTGGAATTCCAAAAAGCAATTGACCGCTTTGCAACCGGACACGAGAGACACTATTTTGTGCGTCTTTGAGGAGGCTTATGTGTTTTTTAAAAATTTCAAAACTGGTGAAATGACGGGCCCACCGGGCCGGGCCTCCGAATTTCCGAAAAAAGGAAATTTGAAAATCCGAGAAAATCTAAAATTCCGAAAATCAAAGAAACCTGAACATTTTGGAATTCAAGTAGTCTGAGAAGTTTCACTATCTTGAAAATTCGAAAATTCAGAATTTTCGACCCAACTTTTTGCAGCTAATCTACAAACGTCTACCTCATCTCCTTCAGGAATTGGAACCCACCGAATTCCTCCAATCGATTCAAAATTTCAGCGAATGGCCTGAATTTTTGGAATTCCCGCCGAAATTTGTCGCCGACTTCGATTGTCTAATGGCCTATTTCTTGAAAAACGTCGAAAATCAGCTAATCGATATGACGAAAAAATGGGAAACGAATCCTGGGAAAATTGTGGAAACCCTAGCGGATTACTGTCGAAAATGGCCGAAAATGAGAGGGGAAATGTGCAAATCGATGCAATTCAATCGATTTGTGAACAATTGGATATTGGAAACTGAAGGGGATCCGTATGAGATGAGCAATCGATTTGAGAAATATTCATTTTTGTTATCATATCGACATTTGCTGAAAACGAGAGACACTATTTTGTGCGTCTTTGAGGAAGGGGGGGGGGGGTGAAGGGTTTCTGAGAAAATCGATAATTTGGAAATCTGAAAATCTGAAAATTAAGGTTTTTTCTCCAGAATTTCGAGACGTCGATTTGCAGAATTCTAGATCCTTTCAGGTTTTTAGAAATTGAAAGTTGTCTGAATTTTCAGATTTTTCTAAATTTTTAAACTTTTAGATTTTTTTCAAAATTTTGTATTTTTAGGTTTTTTTTAGAGATTTCAAAAATGTGGATTTTTTCTAGAAATTCAGAATTTTGAAATGTTAGAAAAAATCGAATTTCTGGAACCTCTGAAAAATCAACTATTTTTTAAATTTTCAAAATTAAATCTTGGAAAACAATTGAAATTTCAAAAACTCAGAAAATCCAAAAATCTGAAAAATTGAATTTTTTGAAAAATCAGAAATTTCCAAATACACAAGTTCTTGGAAATTCTAAGAATCCAGAAATCCGTGAATCCGGTAATTCAGAAATCCAAAAATCTAAGAATCCAGACATCCAGAAACTCAGGAATCCAGAGATCCTAAGAATCCGGGAATCTAGAAATTCTGGAATCTAGCAATCTAGGAATCTAGGAATTCAGGAATCCAGGAGGGCTGGAATTCTGGAATCCAAGAATCCAGGAATCCTGAAATCCTGGAATCCTGGAGCCTAGAAATCCATAGGTTCTGGAATCCAGGAATCCATGAATCCAGATATCTAAGAATCTAAGAATTCAGGAATCCTAAGGATCATAAGGATTCTAAGGATATTAAAGATCCTTAGAATCCTAAGAATTCTAAGAATCTGAAAATCGAAATTTCCAGATCCCGTGCCAACCACCTGCTCGTTGCTCAATCCGTCACTCCTCAAGACCTCTACATCTTCAATAAGCTCATTTGCTCATCATTCCTTCGGAATCTCGTTCCACCCCGTCGTGTGATTGGTCCCTCATTCGATGGACCCACAGTTGCACTGTACCCCAAAAACCTTGAATTCGATCAGCGATCTGTGAAAATCTATCTGAAACGACTGAAAAAATCGCCGTTCCTGGCTCAGAACATTGTCAGAATGATTCTAGAAAATCGCAACGATGACACGTGGCATTTACATGCTACAGTACTGAAAATTGTGATGGAGGATGAGCAATTGCTTACGGTAGGAGTTTTGTACCCTATTTTAGGAAAAAAAACGTTCAATTTTTTAATTTTTAGGTCTGCATTGCCACAATTCCCAACATGATACGGTACCTGAAAATGTACCAAATCCATTTCCCCCCAAAATCACTTTCTGTCCGATTTTTGTAAGTTTTCTGTGTGTCCGCGCATCCGGATGTCCGCGCATTTTTTCCAGAATCATCGACAAGTCTTCCATCACCTCCTGTCAAAAATATTTGCGAAAACCCAAAGAAAACGGACACCTAATCAGCCCAATTAACCTAATTACCCTGTTCGGTTGCGAGAAATCCACGTGGAAACGGATGATTCTCCAGTTTTGGTGTCAATTCGAACGAGAACCAGCACTGGTGGCAGAGAGGTTTTATGAATTTGTGAGTTTGAGAAAAGTGGTTCAAAATTCATGAAAAATGGTCCAAAATCCATGAAAAATGGTCCAAAATTTGTGAAAAATAGTCCAAAACTCACTAAAAATGGGCAAAAATCTATGAAAATGGTTCGAAATTCACTAAAAATGGGCCAAAATCCATGAAAAGTTGCCCAAAATTCATGAAAAAATGATTCAAAACTCGCTAAAAAAGGTCAAAAATTCATGAAAAATGGTCAAAAAAAATATGAAAAATGTTCCAAAATTCATGAAAAATGGTCAAAAATTCATAAAAATGTTCAGAAATTCATGGAAAATCATCCAAAAATCATGAAAAATGGTCCGAAATTCATGAAAAATGCTCCAAAATCCATTAAAAAATGCCCAAAATTAACTTTTCAGGCCTCCGAATCTGTGGACCTTGGCCTTCAAACTCGTGTTGTCTGTATTTTAAGGGCGTTGACAAGCAGTGAGTACTGTAGAAATGTTCTACAAGATGAGCAATTGAAAATGGCATTCGATTTGACGTATCGAGCGATTTGGATGGTTTTGGTGAAGGATCAGTGCAGGTGTGTGCACTAGAAATTTGAAAAATTTTCGAAAAAAGTATTTTCTAGGCCATGACCTAGTTTTTCATGTTTTTAGGTCATGACCTAATTTTTTAATTTTTCTAGGTCATGACCTATTTTTTTTCTAGGTCACGACCCAATTTTTTCTAGGCCATGACCCACTTTTTTCTAGGTCACGACCCAATTTTTTCTAGGTCACGACCCAATTTTTCCTAGGTCACGACCCAATTTTTTCTAGGTCACGACCCAATTTTTTCTAGGTCATGACCCAATTTTTGAATTTCATGACCTAATTTTTGAATTTCATGACCTAATTTTTGACTTTTCTAGGTCATGACATAGTTTTCGACTTTTCTAGGTCATGACCTAGTTTTCTAAAAATCGTCTAAAATTGCAAATTTTCAGCCCGGAAATTCTGGAATTGTGTGACGATTCGAAACTTCGAAACGATCTCCTTGGCTATCGTATCCCGCAAATCCCGCCAGGACACATCGACGACTTTCGTTTATACGAAATGCGCGTCGCGTTTTCGGTGGAGAACTTTTTGAAATTCGGAATCGAGTCTGGAGAAGATACGGTGGATTTCATGGATTTCGGGCTGGCCGAATTTTATAAGCAGTTAAATGAGAATTTGACAGAGGAAGCGATTCGAGGGAATGAGAAGAGAAGTGAGATGATTTCCATGGATTACTGTAACTCAAAATCACTCTTTTAATCAAAAAAATGACAAAAAAGCTTCTTTAGGATTACTGTACCCTCTTTTCTTTCGAAAAATCTGCGTTCTGGGGGTTCAACGGATGATTGGCGGCTCAACGGCGGATGAGTTTCAGGAAGCTTCAAAAAAAGAATACGGAAGATTACTGTACTTTTTTCTTATCTCTAAAAAATGTGTATTTTCCAGTATTTTCAGATTTTTGGAATTTTCAAAAAGTTTGAGTTTTCGGGATATTTAGACTTGGAAGTTTTGGAAATTTGAATTTCAGAGGTACAGAGGTACAGTAACCTTACAGTAACCTATCAGAACCTACAGTAACGTATCAGAATCTACAGTAACCTATCAGAGGTACAGTAACCTTCCTGAATTCTTTTGTCTGTAACTCAGCCGTCGTTGAGTCGCCAGACATCCGTTTTTGGTGAAATGACAAGGAAATAGAGACTGATTGAAAATAAGAGGGTACAGTAATCCTAGAGAAGTTTTTAGTTTGCTACAGTAACCCTAGGAGGTACAGTAAAACATTGATAACCCGTTTTCCAGACATCTACATCGTCGACATCCTCTCCACAGTTTGGCTCCGCCTCCCTTGGCTCCGCCCCCATATCCAGCCAATAATTGCCCGTTTCAAACACATTTCTCCGGCATGGAAGAGTTTTCCACAGCCACCACACTTGCCGGCCACCAAGCACACGTTCAAATGGAAGAGTCGCTTCCATTTGACACTGAAATTCATGAATTTCTGGAATCAGAAGACGTCGTGGAGTCGTGGAGAATTCGCCACGTGTCTTATGATAATGTTGACGAGTCATGGTGGAAGGAAGCATTTGAAGTATGGCGAATACTGTATTGGCGGGAATTTGAAAATTTTGAAAATTCCAAAAATCTAAAAATCTGGAAAATTTCAGAAATCTCAAATTCTGTAAAAATCGAGTTTCTGGAAATTCCGAAGTTTTGAAAATTTTTGAAAAATCCAAATTTCTGAAAAATTTTGAAAATCCAAAATTTTTGAAAAGTCCAAAATTTCTCCAAAAATTCCAAAAATCTGAAATTTCCAAAAAAAATCCAGAAGTCTGAAAATTCCAGAAAATCTAAAAATCTGGAAAATTCTTTAAAATTCTAGAAATCGGAAATTTCCAAAAAAATCCAAATTTCTGAGAATTATAAAATTTGAAAATTCAAAAAATCAAAAAATCTGAAATTTTCAGAAAATCCCAATTTCTAAAAAATTTGAAAATCTGTAATTTCCAAAAAATTCAAGTGTGGAAATTTCTAAAAAATCCAAAAAACTAAAAAACTGGAAAATTCAAAAAATCCAAATTTCTGAAAATTTTTTAAAAATCCAATATTTCTGGAAAATTCAAAAATCTCAAATTTCTGGAAAATTTTGAAATTTTCTAAATTTCTAAAATATCTGAAAATCTAAAAATCTCGAATATTCCAAAAAATCTAAAAATCTGAAATTTCGAGAAAATCCAAATATCTGACAAATCTTGAACTTTCAAATTTCTGGAAATTCCAAAAATCAAGAAATCCAAAAAATCCAAATTTCTGAAAAATTTGAAAAACTCTAAATTCTGAAAAATTTGAAAAATCCAGAATTTTTCCAAAAATCCAAAAATCTGAAAATTTCAAAAATTCAAAAAATGCAAAATTTCTGAAAAAACTGAAAATCTAAAAATTGAAATTTCCAAAAATCGAAAAACACTGAAAAATCCGAATTTTCAAAAATTCTAAATATCTGAAAATCCTAAAATTTCAACTTTCTGAAAATACAAAAAACCTAAAAATCTTGAAATTTTCAAATTTCTGGAAATTCTAAAATTTTGACAAATTTTGGGAAATACAAAATTTCTAAAAAATCTAAAAATCTAGAAAATTCCAAAAATCTGAAAATTAAAAAAAAACCCCTAAAACCTTCCAGAACCAACCTAATCGAGCCAAAACAGCTGGAAAAGCTGAAAAACGGAACGAGAAGGAACGTTTTGTGCGTTTTGGCGAAAATTCTAAAAAAGGAGACATCCAAAGAGGATGATATCGAGGAGGAAGTGATAGAGGAGGCGTTTTTCGAAGCGTTAACTCGATCGGCAGCCATTTTCGTACGTTTGGGATGCTAGAAATGGTCCAAAACTAGCTGAAAATAGGCCTGAATGACAAATAATTGACTAAAATCTCAGAAAAATGGTCCTAATTTCATGAAAAATGGTCCAAAATGCAAGAAAAAGTGTCTAAAATTCATGAAAAATGGTCCGAAATCCATGAAAAATGGTCCAAAATTCATGAAAAATGATCCAAAAATTATGGAAAATGATCCAACAATGTTCAGCCCGACATTGCCACCTTCACCATCCCGTTCCTCTCCCACCTCTGCGTCGATTTCAAGCAAAAAGTGGATTTGGGAATGTCCAAACTGCTCTCCAGCCTTAAAGGAACACCAAAGGACAATCAAACCGTGGTCTTCTGTCTAGCAGAATGCGTGGATTCAGTTGGTTTGGATTCGTTGGCTCGTTATGAATCCGTTGATCCCGAAGAGCCACTACAGTACGCGACGATGTGGTTCTTTGTGATGGCTCGACTGTTTTTGCAGCACGGCTATCTGACACACGCGTTTGCAGTGGCTAATGTCTTGTTTGATAGGTAGGGATAGCCTAGGAAAAACTAGGTCAATATATCTAGGTCATGACCTAGAAAAAACTAGGCCACCTTGTAACTATTTTGGTCATGACCTAGAAAAAAATTAGGTCGCCTGAAGATTATCTAGGTTATGATCAGTGTGTCAGAGCGTCGCTGCTGACATTTTCACTGGTTTTGGGCATTTTGAGGGGGTGGCCTAACTTTGGCAAATTGAGATTTCTAGGCCACAACTTCAATTTAGCCTAAGGATGATCTAACATGACCCTGGGGTGTTTTATAGGACATTTTGAAGTGATGGCCTAGAAAACTCCACTTGCAA